TTTAAAAATAAATATATTTTAATGTGTATAAAGTGCCTCCCCCTTCTTCTCTGATTACATTCTTTTTAGAGGAAGAGTCCCAGGTCACAGCCTTCACCAAGACCCTGCCCTCCCTCAGAACACAGCTGAAGGTGAACTGGTTGGTTTGCCTGGTGCCATGCTCTGAGCCCTTAATCACATCGTCTTCCTGAAAGGGCTGTAGGTTGTGTTAAGCAGCAAAAGAGGGCTGAAAAGTGACTTCCCATTCAATCTCTTCTCCCACGGCATTTTGATGGGTGGTTCAAGTTGACCTTGGTTTGGTTATTGACCAATCTAATCCATTTACTCCCGGCATACTTAAGATCATGCTCTTTTACCTTCATATCACATTCTAAATGGTAATTCTTCTCACTTCCCTCATGAAGTTTTCCCTTTGTTCTCTTTTCTTATGCCCTCTATCAATTCCCTGGCCTGTGTTTTCAAATTTGAGATTTCAGCTCCTGAAAATACAGTATTTTGGTCATATTTTTAGGATCATAAGGGTAAACGGAAGTAGAGTAGGACATTGAGAGTTATGCACAGGTTGCTAGTTACTCAAGGTTCTGAGAATGGGGGAGATAGGCTTAGGAGCCTGAGAGCAAGTCACCAAATCTTTGAAATCCCCTTCTTTTAGACTCTATATAGTGGAGGATTTCCTCTTCCACTTCCCTCCACACATCTGCCCAAGGGCATGGCCCTGAACTAGGGAAACTGAAAATATCAACCTAACACCTATTTCTGTGCTTTTCCGAACCCTTTCCATGTTATCTCACTTGGTCCTCAAATTCCACAACTGTGCAAGTGGACCCAAAGTAGTTTATGCAGCACATACTGAGGGAAAAAAGCCTGTTAATGGGCAACATGGGGTTGGATTCCAGGCCTGATTTCTGGGCTGTGCTCTCTCCACACCACAGTGCATTTGCTTTAGCCATCAGGAAGGATTGTTTGGAAAGCAGCCAAGTCCCATTTCTCTTTGTAGATCCAAGACTCCTGCAGATCTTGGGTTTATAAAAGTGATGGAAAACTGAAAAGGAAAAGATGACAACCACAAACAAATGCAAGACCCCATTTATACCACTCTAGAAAAGTGAAATCAACAACAGAAGTGCGTCTGTAGTCAAAGAAAAGCTTCCGGTTTTTTTCTGCACTGTCAGCAAGCACTTCCAGACATCAGAACTGAAAACATCTCCTAAACATCCAAAATTGTTGAAAGCTTCAAGTTACAAGTAAGGAAGTATGTTCCTTATTATTCATTATTGTTCAGGAACAAAGTCCTGAACCTGAACCTGAACTGAAGAAGGATCTTCACAGAAGGGAAAAATAGCCTAATGAGTGGGTTGGAAAAAGAGTCATTCTAATTTATTAGAATCACATTAAGTCAAGGCTAATATTTCCCCAGTTTGTACAGATAGCTCATGCTATTCAGGAATACATTCTCAAAACTACTGGTTAGCTGAACCCCTAGTTTTTCTTTCTTCTATCTTTTGATACCACGATATGATCACTTCAATGCTGTTGACCCCCATATACACTGGCTACTTCAGAGCTGAGTGTCCAGAATTTTGGAAGCCTTGATTATTTGGGACGCAGTTATAACCCTGAAAGTGTTTGCAAAAAGCAATTGAGTGGTAAAATAAATTGCTCTCCCCATGCCAGCTCACTTTTCTCACTGGGAGAGTTCTGCAGCTAGTCTCACTACGTGTTCATAATGGCTACCCTAATCATCATGAAAAGGTTAAAATGTTTTTAAGGCAGAGGTATTTTTGCAGTTAGGTTTGTTTCCCACAGCTGGCATGCTAATGTTTATTATGGGCATTGTCCTAGCTGCTTCCAACTTCCTTTATTATTTTTTGGGCAATATTTGTTTAAATGTCTATGGGAAAAAAATGGTACATATTTCCAAAGTTTCAACACTTAAAGCAGTGATTATGACTTAGTATTAAAACTATCTTTTTACTTACTATGCCAGATAAGCAAGGGGCATTGATGTCCTTGAAATACAGGGCTAGGTGCTGGCTGCCCATAGCCCCCTGAGCAGAGTTGGATATCTGTGTCCTCCCTCCACATCCCACTCAGGTCTCCTACAGGCCCCTGAGATGGTTCTAATAGCATCCCCTGTCTTCCTGTCATGTTCTGGACTGATGCACAATCCCTGGTTCCCACCTGCAAGGCGAGCGAGGGTTCAACTTTAGAACTGGAACTAGGACTGGAGAGGAGCCAGAGAGCAAGGCCAGTATATCGCCAAGGAGTGAATCCTGGGAATAAAAGTAAATTCATTTAACTTGTTAATAGCTCCAATAACGTAGATGAGCTGCAAGGTCAGAAACCAGACCTGAGTGAGCCTTGTCTATTGCTGATATATTTAAGTGGCGCAGACTATGCCCTGGTATTACTGAGAAGCCAGCTGTATTTGAGTGACACAAGCTATGTAACGTCTATCGACTGACAGATTCTGGGTAGATTGGGAAAAGCTCTGAAAAATCAGACTTTCCACTGCTAACTTATGTTATGACCTCCCTTTTTTGTATAATCATAATATCAAACTATTCTGAGCAACTTTCAGCTTACAATTGGATTGCCTCAGCCGCATAAGGCCTGCCTGCCCTGACAAGCAAGCACTGCACCAGGGTGAGAAATTCCTCTGAAGTCAAAAGTGACTTGACAACTGGCTGATCAATAAAAGCAAAAGGGCTGTTTCTGCAAAGTCTCTCTCACTGCAGGATGGAGGAAAACCCAGATCTTATCACTCTACTATCTCACCTAGCCTTCTATTCAGCTTCTACAGAATTACTCAAACTTCCTACTGTCTGGCCTTTAGATGTGGAAATTCATCCAGGTTACCTATTTTAGAACTAGTCAGGTTTTCTACCTGCTACACTTCAAAGGAACTCACAAAAGTCTTCTGGCTAGTCTTTCAGGATTCTACTATCTAGTCTTTAGATAAGGAAATTCACCTATGTCTCCTATTCTCAGCAAATTACACTTTCTATTGTCTAGACCATAAGGAAACTCACTTAAAAACCTTTTAACAAGTTTATTCAAAGAACTTTTCTGAAATTTGATTTGCAAGAAATTTCCTCTTCCTGCCTCCCAGGATGTCTCAGGTAGGAAAAAACCCATCAAGTAGTAGATAAGGTTTAAGGGACTTTATTTTAATTAATCTTCACTGTAGTATTAGTCTTAAACTTTGTGCACCTATGCACCTGTTTTTAACCTTGATTGATTTTAGAATGTTATAATCTCAAGTAAAGGTCAAAACAACCCCTGACTATTCTTAGAAAAAAGGTGATTGTGATCTCAGCCCCTTTCATATGCTAATGTCATCTCTGCCTGCTTGAAATGTATAAAATAAACCTCTGCTGAAGGCAGAGCAGGAAGATTTGCACCCAACTCCAACTCGCATGTCTTCCTCACTCCCGCTCTCCTTTGCTCCCCAATTTTTAGAATATCGCCTCCCCGACGTCATTCCCACCTTGATACCCTGCCTGTGTCAGCCTCTCAGCCTGAAATCGGGGTTGGTCCCCGACATTTGAGCAAATTGGCGTCATGCAAAGAGGTGATTTTGTGTGTTTGATGAAATCCAAATAACCACCATCAGGTATAGCATTTAAGCCAACAGCAGGCATGTTTCTGATGACCTGTGACCTTCTGGAGATATATCTCTAACTTAATCCATCACTGGTTATGATTTGTGTAATTCAAGCATTTTCTCTCTAACTGAATATTTACATTATTTGGTGTTTTCCTTTTCAGAAGCCACTTCTTTGAGAGAGTTATGAAGGTAGCTTCTAAAGTTTGATAATTAACTACTATTTGTTTAAGCGTCTCAAACTTTGCAAAAGGAAAATGGGAAATCCTTAACTATCATTGTTATATTTGAAATTGCCTCAGAACTAACAGAAGTAATAAAGCAGCTGGAACTTTTGAATAACTTGGGGTGGGCGGACAAAAAAACATTTTGCCATGTAAACCTTTTCCTCACCAACAATCACATTTATCGTACTGGAAGGGGATGTATCAGGATAGCTACCATAACAATCCAACCCCTAAATTCAAGCATCATTTTCAAAAGCAAAAAATAAGGGAGTCTTTCTCTGTATAGCACTGGGCCTCAAGACTAGGGTCTTTGAGAGAAAGAGTCTTACATTATTGCTTAAACAAACTTTATTACCTGCTTCTGACATTGCCCGGGTTACACAGCAGGGGACCTCTGAGCCTCGTGTTCCATGGGTGAAGCAGAAGCACTGAATCAACACAGGAGAGGCATTTGGAAGTATTGGGGTGATGTACCCAGCAATGATGGCCCGCGGTAGAAAGATGGCAAAGTTTCTAAAAATCAGGCAATTTACCTTTGGGACGATGACTAGATGCAAGATAACCATACAGTTGGGGTCTTAGTTTCTCTCTCCCCACTAAGTCTCCTTCCCCCTTCAGTCCCCTTTGAGTCCGTTCTAGCCCACAGCCTGGTCCTAGTGTCCTGCTAGCTCCCTGAAAGAAGGAGGGAGGAGAACGATGTCTGAAATCTCTTCTTTTTCTTTGTCTCTGTCCCTAAGGCAACGGGAAGCTGGAGCTGCTGCAGCCGGCCTGGCAAAGATGGCAAGCCTATTGGCTCTGCAGACTAAGCAGTCCCTGGAGCAGCTGCCAGTTAGACGCCCCAAGTTGAGATAGATTCATTGCTTCAGTTTAAAGCCAAGTGTTGGACGCATTGGATTCAGTTTCCAGAGGACTGGGGCATATGGTGTCAGGGCTGTCTGAAGACAAGAAAGCAGAGGCAGTTTAGTGCAGTTGGATGTGCGAGGTTGAGGGGTGGTAGCAGCCTAGCCAGGAGAGAAAGTGGCCAGGAGTGGGTCAGAGTGTTACTTCTTCCAGGGCTTTTCCAGACCAGGTCTCCTAGCCTCGCGTCACTGTCTGGGTCTCAGGTGAGGCGAACCCTGGAAAGGGAGAAGATAAGGAGGGGGCGCACAAGCAAGCAAGGAGTGACTCTAGACTCCCTCCCTGCCCTGGCTGAGGGTGGGCAGCCCCCCTGCCGCCAGCTGGCAGCGGCCCTGAGCTGGAGAGCCGGCAGCCTTCTCCGGATCAACGGGGTCGCGTTCCGGGGCCCACTCGTGCTCGGTGCAGGTGTGGCACGGCTCGTCCTTGGCCTCGATGAGCTTGCGAGAGCGGGTGTAGGCCAGGATGAGGCCTCCGGCCAGGCAGGCGTAGAAGATCATGATGAGCAGGATGTAGAGATAGGCGTCGTCGCCCTTGGCGTTGGTCACCTCACGGCCCACGAAGGGGTCAGGCACCACCCCCATGCCCATGCTAGGGCCAGGGCCGGTGCCCAGGCCAGTGGCATTGCCCCGGTGGTGCAGCTCGAGCAGCAGGCGGCTCAGGAGGGTTCGCAGCCTCTGGCTCTCGCTGCAATTCATGGCTGTCGGGGAGGGACAAGGCGGCTCCAGGACGCAGGTGACCTTTCCCCCTGAGTGAGGAGAAGAAAGCCAACGACAGCAGAGGCACCCACCTCCCCAGCGGTCGGCTCTGTGGCTGGGGGAACCGGCAGCTTGTGCGCCTCCTTATCCCCTCACCCCCGCTCCTCCTCCCCTTCCCCACCACGCCCCCTTCGCCTCTTCCCAGGCTCCGGCTGTCTGGCACTCCAGGGAGAGGGGACAGCTGGAGGGGGGAGGAGAAGGGGACAAGGAAGAGGGGGCGAGGCCAGGAGAGGGGAGGAGGGGGCGGGGGCGCGGAA